ATTGTATATCTAGAAGACCCCATCACCTCAGCCCAAAATTTCCTGAAACTGATAAGCAACTTCAGCAAAGTCTCAGGATAAAAAATCAATGTGCAAAAATCGCAAGCATTCCTATACACCAATAACAGACTTAAAGAGAGCCAAATCAAGAACGAACTGCCATTCACAATTGCTACAAAGAGAATAAAATACCTAGGAATACAACTAACGAGGAATGTAAAGGACCTCTTCAAGGAGAACTACAAACCACTGCTCAACAAAATAAGAGAGAACACAAACAGATGGAGAAACATTCCATGTTCACGGTTAGGAAAAATCAGTATCGTGAAAATGGCCATACTGCCCAAAGTAGTTTACAGATTCAACACTATCCCCATCAAGCTACCAATGACCTTCTTCACAGAACTGGAAAAAAACACCTTAAACTTCATATGGAACCAAAAGAGAGCCTGCATAGCCAAGTCAATTCTAAGCAAAAAGAACAAAGCGAGAGGCATCACACTACTGGACTTCAAACTATACTACAAGGCTACAGTAATCAAAACAGCATGGTACTGGTACCAAAACAGAGATATAGACCAATGGAACAGAACAGAGGCCTCAGAGATAACACAACATATCTACAACCATCCAATCTTGGACAAACCTGACAAAAATGAACAATGAGGAAAGGATTCCCTGTTTAATAAATGGTATTGGGAAAACTGGCTAGCCATGTGCAGGAAGCAGAAACTGGATTCCTTCCTGACACCTTACACTAAAATTAACCCCAGATGGATTAAAGACTTAAACATAAGACCTAACACCATAAAAACCCTAGAAGAAAATCTAGGCAGAACCATTCAGGACATAGGCGTAAGCAAGGACTTCCTGACCAAAACACCAAAAGCATTGGCGACAAAAGCCAAAATAGACAAATGGGACCTAATCAAACTCCACAGCTTCTGTACGGCAAAAGAAACAGTCAGTAGAGTGAATCGGCAACCAACAGAATGGGAAAAAATGTTTGCAGTCTACTCATCCAACAAAGGGCTAATATCCAGAATCTACAAAGAACTGAAACAGATTTACAAGAAAAAAACAAACAAGCCCATTCAAAAGTGGGCGAAGGATATGAACAGACACTTTACAAAAGAAGACATACATGAGGCCAACAAACACATGAAAAAATGCTCATCATCACTGGTCATTAGAGAAATGCAAATCAAAACTACATTGAGATACCATCTCATGCCAGTTAGAATGGTGATCATTAAAAAATCTAGATACAACAGATGCTGGAGAGGATGTGGAGAAATAGGAACAATTTTACACTGTTGGTAGGAATGTAAATTAGTTCAACCATTGTGGAAGACAGTGTGGCGATTCCTCAAGGACCTAGAAATAGAAATTCCATTTGACCCAGCAATCCCATTACTGGGTACACATCCAAAGGATTATAAATCATTCTACTATAAGGACACGTGCACATGAATGTTCATTGCAGCACTGTTTATAATAGCAAAGACCTAGAACCAACCCAAATGCCCATCGATGATAGACTGGACAGGGAAAATGTGGCACATATACACCATGGAATATTACGCAGCCATCAAAAACAATGAGTTCGTTTCCTTTGTAGGGACATGGATGAACCTGGAAACCATCATTCTCAGCAAACTGACACAAGAGCAGAAAATCAAACACCACATGTTCTCACTCACAGACGGGTGTTGAACAATGAGAATACATGGAAACAGGGAGGGGAGCACTACACACTGGGGTCTGTTGGGGGGAAATAGGGGAGGGACAGTGGGGGGTGGGGAGTTGGGGAGAGATAGCATGGGGAGAAATGCCAGATATAGGTGATGGGGAGGAAGGCAGCAAATCACACTGCCATGTGTGTACCTATGCAACAATCTTGCATGTTCTTCACATGTACCCCAAAACCTAAAATGCAATAAAATAAGTTTTAAAAAAATTAGGCAAAATATGGTAAAAATCTGAAAAAAAAAAAAGAAAAGAAAAATTATGCAGCTGCTTTGGAAAACAGCCTGGCAATTCCTCAAAAGGTTAAACATAGAGTTACCACATGACCAGCAATTCCATTCCTAGATATACACCCAAGAGAAATGAAAACCTATTTTACATAAGAACTTGTACACAAATGTTTATAGCAGCACTATTTGTAATCACTAAAAGGTGGACGCACCCCAAATATCCATCAACTGATGAATAGATAAATAAAATGTAGTATAGCCATGCAATGAAATATTATTTCCCACCTCAGCCTCCTGAGTAGCTAGGATTATAGATGTCCATGCCATGCCCTGCTAATTTTTGTGTTTTTTGTAGAAACAGGGTTTCACCATGTTGGCCAGGCTGGCCTTGAACTCCTGATTTCAGGTGATCTGCCCACCTCAGTCTCCCAAAGTGCTGGGATTACAGGTGTGACTCACTGCGACCAGCCTTGAATTGTACAATATGGTGAGACCCTGTCTCTAACAAAAACATTTTTTTTAATTAGCACATTTTCATCAGAAAGATATAGCAATATACGCACACTTCATAGTGTGTGTCTGTAGTCCCTGCTGCTACTCAGGAGGCTGAGACAGGAGGATCACTTGAGACCAGGAAATCAAATCTGCACTGAACCATGATCATTCCACTGTACTCCTCCCTGGGTGACAAAGCAAGATCCTGTGTCAAAAAAAAAAAAAAAAGATACTTGAAAGCATTAAGGATCAAGAGAAAGACAAGCCTGTAATCCCAGCACTTTAGGGGGCTGAGGTGGGCAGATCACCTGAGGTTGAGAATTCGAGACCAGCCTGGCCAACATGGTGAAACCCCATCTCTACTAAAAATACAAAAATTAGCCAGATATGGTGACACATGCCTGTAGTCCCAGCTCCTCGAGAGGCTGAGGCAGGAGAATTGCTTGAACACAAGAGGTGGAGGTTGAAGTGAGCCGAGATCGCGCCATTTCCAAGGTCTCTGTCCCTGGGCGACAGAGACTCCATCTCAAAAACCAACACACAAAACAAACCCACACGAAAAAAACAAGAAAACAAGACAAAGATGGCTATTCTTCCTTCTTTTCAACATTATTCTCTTAGCCTGCACAGAAGCATAATAAAAGATCTTAGCCAGCACAGAAACATAATAAAATATGTAAAAAGGAATAAGGATTGAAAAAGAAACAAATCTGTCATTATTTGCAATTGATGTTTGTCTACAAGAATATTCAAAATAAACTATACATAAATTACTATAATTAATGTGATAGTGTAGCAATATCCCAGGCCTTAAAAATCAATAAACAAAAATGAATTACCTACCAATATAACAACAATAAAACACCAAAAATGTTATTTCTAAAATGATCCCATTTACAATAACATTAAAACATATAAAACAGCTCTTCCAAAAATAACAAATGTGCGCCAATATGCCTGGCTAATTTTTGCATTTTTAGTAGAGATGGGTTTCACCATGTTGGCCAGGCTGGTCTCAAACTCCTGACCTCAAGTGATACATCAGCCTTGGTCTCCTAAAGTGCTGGGATTACAGGGATGAACCACTGCGCCCAGCCTGTTGTGATGACTATTGAACGAAGGTCTGAATGAAGAATCAGTCATGTACATATGTGGAGTCAGGAGTCAGGGTGCAGGAGTTTTCCAAGCAGAAAAAACAAAAAGCTCAGATAAGAATGGGTTTCTTATTTAAGGGAGGAAAAGAAGTGCTATAATGTTAGAAAAAGAGTGGAAGGGGAGTGAACAGGGGAAGAATGAAGGGAGATGGTGGCCACCAGTCAGAGATGGAGGTCTGAGATGAAGGACACTGGATGGGACTAGGGGGTGGTAAAAAGCGGGAAAGCTTGCACATGGCCTGCTGGCAGAGTCAGTAAGACTTACCACCGGGCGCGGTGGCTCAAGCCTGTAATCCCAGCACTTTGGGAGGCGGAGGCGGGTGGATCACGAGGTCAAGAGATCGAGACCATCCTGGTCAACATGGTGAAACCCCATCTCTACTAAAAATACAAAAAAATTAGCTGGGCATGGTGGCACATGCCTGTAATCCCAGCTACTCAGGAGGCTGAGGCAGGAGAATTGCCTGAACCCAGGAGGCGGAGGTTGCGGTGAGCCGAGATCGCGCCATTGCCCTCCAGCCTGGGTAACAAGAGCGAAACTCCGTCTCAAAAAAAAAAAAAAAAAAAAAAAAAAAAAAAAGACTTACCAATGGGGTGACTAGATTAGAAAGGGAGAGGTAAGTATGACTACTAGGATTAGGGCGGAAAAAGCACACGGAGATGTGAAATGCTGAAAGCTAGGTTTATTTGTTGCATTTATCTTCATTTTTGATAGCACGATTCGAAATCTCAGAGTTATACATGAAAGCATAATTTTTCCTCATTAAGATTTGATACTATGCTAGAACCCTCCCACCCCCTTGAAAACTAATATATTCCGTTTTAGTCTTCATAGGTCAACTAATAAAAAGGTCTGATAATTCAGGCACACATTTTGGCCAAGTTTAGCTTTATCACATCTAAAAAAAATTCATGTATAAAACAAGTATCAGTTCAAAAATACAGATTACTTTTTAGGAAGAGCCAGCAGGAAATATAAAAATACTTAAATCTGGTGGAAAGGAACTGTTACACCTGCCTGAAATTGAGAGGATGTAATGTTAACGTACATTACAGTATCATTAGGTACACCTGCTCTCCAGGCAGCTTGTTTTACTGTTTAGACCAGAGGTACTCGACGCAGATTTCCTAATCCCTGTTACTAAGGGGCGCCCTTAAAATACTCCATTTCCCTTGCTTGGTACTCAAAACGTCCTGGTCCCACTATCCTGTCCTTTCAAAGAAGCAGACTGGCAGCCATTCTGGACTTCTAGAGAGAACTCTTTGGAGATTTTTCATCTAGAAGATTAAGAAGTCTTTAAGAATTGGAGGTTCAGACATACACTCATCACAACAGTCTAGATTGCTTCAAAATATGAAATGAAGCTGAATGTTTACATTTAATTTTACATATTAAATTTCTATATCATTAAGATGCCAATGTTTTAATGAAAAAGTAGAAAATAGAGTATAAAATTCAGTATCATCCATTTGTCTCAAATTTAAGTACAGTATTAAACAGGAATGACAATATAGTAGCAAAAACAGAACTGGTAGGTTTGCCCAAATTAACTCTACTTCTCCAAATTTGAGGTGTATGACAGGTTGAATGTTTGATCTCTCAGCAATTGTTAATTACATTATCAGCTTAACACTTTCAAACACTTCAGGAGGCATTTCTCTGTTCACATAGACTTAGGTACACGTATACTGAGCTGAGAATAGTTTGCCTTCCATTAGTTTGGTCTCTAAGACCTAAATATGTAGATTTCAAATCAGTCTATGAGACCCAGTGACCCTCTCTTCATAGGCATCAGTAATACATTTGGCAAATGTCTTGAAACATGAATTTTAAATTAACATAGGTACAACCTTGATAATAAGAGTCCCAAATATTTATTTTTTTAAATGTTAACATTAGCAAAAAAATTGTAAGTATCATCAGCTCTATTACGTGAAAATTCAGTTGAGGTAATTTCTGCAAGTCACAGCTCCACATTTACATACAGTTCTGACCCTCTTTTTGGCTGGGTTGTGGTCAACAGAATCTGAAGATGTATCTCCAAAACCTTTCATTTTGATAATCAAAGGTCAGCTCTTCTCCAGCATTTATGGTTCTCGTGGAAAACAGTGCTATTCGGGGAAGACAAGTATTGAGGTTATTAGCGTAAACATTGAACACCTGAAGATTCGGTCACAGCTGTGATTCACAAAATGAGACACATTGCCGTATCGAGCCGCATCCACTGTGAATTCATCAGATTGATAGTCCAGATCAAAGAGATATGTGATTCCCTTGTTGTCATGTAACTATCCCCATTTTTCAGCTTCTTCACTTGTGAGTACCTCTCCAACGTATTCCAGGACAAAACCCATTCTTTTTTTTTTTTTTTTTTTTTTTTTTTTTGAGACTGAGTTTCGCTCTTGTTACCCAGGCTGGAGTGCAATGGCGTGATCTCGGCTCACTGCAACCTCTGCCTCCTGGGTTCAAGCAATTCTCCTGCCTCAGCCTCCCGAGTAGCTGGGATTACAGGCATGCGCCACCATGCCCAGCTAATTTTTGTGTTTTTAGTAGAGATGGGGTTTCACCATGTTGACCAGGATGGTCTCAATCTCTTGACCTCGGGATCCACCTGCCTCCCAAAGTGCTGGGATTATAGGCGTGAGCCACCGCGCCCGGCCAAAACTCATTCTTCTAATCTTCGCAAGGGTCTTTACATCCCAGCCACGGCCACTGCTAGTTCGAAAGATGCAAAGCGAATACCATGTGCCTTTTCGTACAACCGTACTGGGACAATCAGGTCCCCACTAACACCTTCAGTTGCATTCATAGATGGGATTACCAGGTGGGCTTTTAATTTGTTGGTTTTTATTATAAGCCAAAAGAACTCCAGCTTCAGCGGGACAACATTTTTCAAAGAAGCAATCTGCATGAACAACCAAAGGTAGCTTCATCGACTAAGCTGATTCCAGGAGCTGGTTTGTATTTATTAAGGTAGTAAAAGTCTGAAGGTGGCCCTCTAAATCAACAGTATTTTCAACAAATATCGTTCCTTTCTGATTCTTCCTTCTGTTGAATTCATCTTGCCACCTCCGCAGAGCTATCCTTCGTTTAGCCTTCTTCACTACACAGTGATGGCAGCTTTCAAAGTTTTGTTACTGTCTTTTGGAGTTATTGCTTTGCCTTTCTTCACCTGATATAAATAATTATGCTTGTCATTAGAGAATTGCTGAAGCAGTAACGGGCACTTCAGATTTTCCAAAGTTTCCCAAGTATTTGAAGAATCTGGCCATCCTTTCCAATTTCACAAGATAATATTCCATATCCTTTACTACCTTGTAGTCACACAAGTATTCCACCTCATAATTGTCTAGATTCCCTTTGGTGATTCCAATCAATTTGCACGTGAGCTTTTCTTTTCTACCTAATTCCTGAACAGTAACAAGTGAAACCAGGCAAGGCACACACCAAGCTCCTGGAGCCTCGGCCCTGGCTGCCGCCATCTTGCAGAGCTTTCATTCAAACACAGCATGTGCTTATCCTTATTGACAGGCTTCTCTTTTTAGTTAAGATTCCATATTGGCCTGTCTGTGGATGTGGTTTTCATTTACTGTCTCCAGAAATTATAATGGGAGGATATTGTCTGTGCTCCTCATTCCTTCAGAGATTTCTCTGAGTTTCAAGTTCAAGCATTGGCAATGACTGACTGCCTAAGGGCGAATATCTCTGATGCTCACTGCCTCAGCCTGCCCACAGCAAATTAGGGTCCCTAATCAGTCAGCATGATGGTTGCCTCAGGTCCTTCCTTCTTTTCCTTGTAACTGTTGCCTCTCAACGAAGAATGCCTCCAGAACCACTCCCCTTATTGCAGTAGTTCCTTCCTTTGTTTGGCTGTGGTTCCTTCCAACAATTCAATCTCATCTGCTTACCATTTTTCAGGAATTCCTGAACATTTCTTGTTGGCTGGTAGCACTTTCTCTTGCTTCTCAGTACTGTTAGAATTTATTTTCTAAAATACCTAGGAATAAATTTAGCTAAGAAGATAAAAGATCTCTGCAAGGAAAACTGTTAAACATTGATGAAGGAAACTGAAGCGCACACACACAAAATAGAAAACACCTCATGTTCATGAATGGAAATAATTAGTATTGTGAAAATGACCATACTACCAAAGTGACCTACAAATTAAATGCAATCTCTATCAAAATACCAGAGACGCAAGATCTTACTTTCTAGACCAAATTTGGGACATAAGTTTCTGATTTATAAGTTTACTGAGATTAAAAATAAATAAATAAATAAATAAAGCCATCCAGATTCATAAAAGTGAAACTGTATCTGAGAGTTTTCCCTCATTGAAAATGAAATAAAGATAACGATAAAGCTTAGAGAAAGGGACAGATCAGTGAATGGACTTTTGGATTCTGAGAGAGTAGATTCTTTTAACACAGATATGGTCTATTTCCTCAGGGTCTCCTAGCAAAGAGACGCTAACAGAGCCCAAGGAGGCAATACAGATGGTCATGTAACTCGGGCACACACATTTTATGCCTACCAGATTCTTAGATCTATGATCTTGCTGCCATAGGGAACTGCCTAGGCCTGAGCCCTGGAGTCCAAGATTACACAACTGTTCCAAACCCTATCCCCAAAGGTCACAGAGAAGGGCCTGATGGCCACCAGAGGGAGCCCAGGAGCTGAAGCACATCAGCTCATCTGAAATTAATTCAGTAGCCATGACAAGAATAAAACAAAAGAAAGAAGGGTTTATCCCAGAAATACAAAGATAATTCAACATCAGGAAAAACAATACATTAACATAAATCATTTTATTAATATATTAAAGGGAGAGGAGCCATATGGTCAAGACAAAGTAAAAGACCTGGATTGATGGAGAGACAAAAAATAATGTTCTTGGATAAGAAAACTTGATTTTGTAGTGATGTCAGTTCTGTCCAAAATTAGCCAATATATTAAAAGCAAAATCCTAGGAGAATTTTTATGAAATGTGGCAAGCTGATTGCAAAATTTATCTGGAGAAGAAAATATGCAAGAATAGCCAAGAAATGATTGTAAAAGGCTGGTAAGAGAGGATTTGACCTAGCAGATATCAACATAAAGATATAAATCACTATAAAGCTAGAGTAATTAAAACAGTGTGACATGGGGACAGCAAGAGACAATAAAATTTCTTTAGAACATAACACTGGGTCAGAAAGAGACTAATACATTTGTGAGAAATTTGTGTAAGATAAACGTGGCATTTTTTAAATCAATGAGAAAAGAACGACCTTTATAGTAAATTTTATTGTGGCAAGTAAGTAAGCTTACTTACCCTACCTCACTCACTCAATAAGCAAATTCTAGATGAAACAAAATTTAAATTGAAAAGTAAAACTTTTAAATCACTAGAAGAAAATATGGTAAGGGGAATGTATTTAAAACCTCAGGGATATAATGCAAGAGACAAAAATGAAAAAGAAATTTGCTACCCCAAATATTTAAACTTCTGTATAACAAAAGGTATTGTACACAAATAAAAAAGGCAATTGACATAAAATGTTTGCCACATATAGGACAGGCAAAGAAATGCTATAGAGAATATATAAGGAACTTGTAGAAATCAATATTTTCAAATTTTTAAAAGGAGCATAAAATATGAAGAGACAATCAACAGAAAAATTTTAATAGCAAAAAATGACAAATAGAATTATTCTTAATATTTTTAGTGATCAGAGAAGTGTAACAGCAGCAAGATATCCTTTTTCATCCATTATAATGCAAAATTTAAAAGACTGAGGCCGTGTGAGGTGGCTCAAGCCTGTAATCCCAGCACTTTAGGAGGCTGAAGGGGGAGAATCACCTGGAGCCCAGGAGTTCAAGACCAGCCTAGGCAAATAACAAGACTCTATCTCTATTTAAAAAAAATAAAATAATCATCAGAGTGGGCTGCCATGCACCTCTAGTTCTATTTACTTGGGAAGCTGAGATGAGCAGATCGCTTGTGCCCAGGAGTTCAAGGTTACAGTGAGCTATGATTGCACCACTGCTACAGCCTGGGCAACAGGGCAAGACTCTGTCTCCTTCAAATTTAATTTAATTTAATTTAAATTTTAAAATAAAAAGTAAAAGACTGACAACACCCAGCATCAGTCAAGATATGGAGAAATGGATACTGTTGTATTCTTGGTGGAGATTTAAATTAAGACATTTCTGAGGGCAATTTAGGGCATCTTTCAACAATTTAAATAAACATACCTTTGATCCAATAACTCCCTGTCAAGATAGCTATCATAGAGTAGTATTTGTACATGTGCCAAAGAGTTGTGTAAAATGATATTATTTGATATTATTTGCAGCATTGTTTGCATAGCGAAAGAAAACATTAGTTATAACTTAAATGTCCAACAACAGGAAATGCTCAAATGAACTATAATATATTCAAACAATAGAATATTACATATAACTTTTAAAGAAACAATTATATAAAAATATCTACAGCTGGGCTTGGTGACTCACGCCTATAATCCTAGCACTCTGGGAGGCTGAGGCAGGTGGATCACCTGAGGTTGGGAGTTCAAGAGCCGCCTGACCAGCATGGTGAAACCCCGTCTCTACTAAAAATACAAAAATTAGCTTGTTGTGGTGGTGCATGCCTGTGGTTCCAGCTACTTGGGAGGTTGAGGCAGGAGAATTTCTTGAACTCAGGAGGCGGAGGTTGCAGTGAGTTGAGATCGTGCCACTGTACTCCAGCCTGGGCAACAAGAGTGAAACTCCCTCTCAAAAAAATAGATAGATAGATAGATAGATAGATAGATAGATAGATAGACAGAGATATAGATACATACACACATACATCTATATGACATGGTATATTGTTAAAAGCAAGCCTCACATATTAAAGAAAGACATAGAAGATTTTAAAAGACCCAAATAAAACTTTTAAAGATAAAAAATACAATGGTTGAAAATTTTAAAAATCAAATAGATGAATGCAACATGATATCCTGGATTGTATCCAGGAACAGAAAAAGGATATTTGTGGGAAAACTGGGAATATTTGAATAATGCCTGTAGTTTAATACCAATTATGTTTAGTTGTGCCACTGCTAATTTCTGAGTTTTGATAAACATATCATGGCTATATAAGATGTTCACATTAGGAGTAAGTTGGTTTAAAGTTATACAAGAAATCTGTGTCATATCTTTAGAACTCTTCTGCCAATCTAAAATTATTTCAAAATTTAAAACAAATTTTAAATACATTAGATGGAATTAAAGCAGACTAGAATTTGCAGCAGAAAATATTAGTAAACTTGATACCATAGCAATAGACAGTAACAAAAAGAAAAAAGAAAAAAATAAATAAATAAGCAAAGTATCAGTGAGCTTTGGGACTTCAAGTGGCCTCATATATGTATAATTGGAATCTCAGGAAAAGAAGCAATAGGCAGAAAAAAAATATGGAAAAAATCAAAATTTTTCCATACTTGATTTAAAAAATTCTACAAACTCATAGATTCAAGAACCTCAACAAACCTTAAGCAGAAGAAACATGAAGATAGCTAGACCAAGGCACATTATAATACAGTTGCTTTAATCAGTGGTAAAGAGAACATCTTAAAAGCAATCATAGAAAAAGACACATTATATGCAGAGGACAAACATAAGGATGACAGCAGTCATTGTCAGAAGCAATGCAAGCCAGAAGACAGTAGCGCGATAGCTTCACAATGCTCAAAAGAAAATTAAACTGTCAGAATTCTATACTAAGCAAAATACCTCTCAAAACTGAAGTTAAATAAAAATATTTTCAGACATACAAAATTTTAGAGACTTTATTACCAACAGACTAGATCTTTAAGAATGTTAAAAGAGTTCTTCAGGTGGAAGAAAAAAATGATATTAGACAAAAATACCTATTTATACAGGCAACAAAGAGCCCTAGAAATGGTAAATATGTGAATAATTATAAAATTTTTTTACTCTAATTTTTAAACCTTTTAAAACATAGTTTAGATGTGGCCAATAAGATGCTAATAATTTTTTTAAAGGAAGGAATATATAACAATTGACTATTAGAAGCAAAAGTAATAAGGTATTATAGAATTTTAACAGATGTGGAATTACAGTATATAACAATAGCTCAAAACCCAGAAGAGGGGAGTGGAAGTTCACTGTTGCAACATTTATATACCAGGTAACATGGTATTATATTAATTAAAGGTAGATTAATAAGTTACAGTTAAAGCAACCACTAAAAATAAAAGTTAATTATGCTAATAAAAGAATTAATCCAAAAGAATACAGAACAAAATTAAAAGGAAATTAAATAGCAGATGGAACAATAGAAAACAAACAGCAAGATGAAATATTTAAATCCAATTTTTGGATGACAATATCCATGGTCATTTTTAATGTAATTGGTCTAAGCATCTAAATTAAAGGGCACAGATTGTCTAATTAAATTTTTAAAGATCCAACTCTACGTTAAGAGCAGACA